CTTCCTTATTTCATTTTGCGATACACGAAACTTCTCTAGTATTTTTATAAGGATTATTTTGAAAGCCAATTACATAATCGGGTTGAAGAAAACTGTATCTTCTATCATGTGCAGATAGTGTCTAAAAATAATATGAATAAAATGTAGATTTTATAAATATTAATATTAAAATTAAATTAATAGAGGAAAAGAAATGATAATGAAATAGATGGGGGTTACAGAATACATGATATCTTAGTATAGTATAGTTTGCGGTGCATTCTGAAGACGACCGTTAAAATTACTTTTTCACAGTCTGCTTAGACGTTATGATATAATCATTGGTCGTTAGTTTTTACTGCGTTGTTGTAAAAGTTGCAGTTTTGTAGATAACATAATTTTATAGATGTGTACTCCTTATGTAATTTTGAGAAGTATATTAGTATTAATTTTATAATTTTAGTCTAACTTGGGGGCTTTGAACATGACTTTTAAATAATATATGGTGCTTTCCAACAAGAAACACAATGTAACACAGTAATAATTTCATTTTTGTTTAACAATGGTAAACAACCAAGATGTAAAAACTCACTGTATTACACTGTGTCATCTGTATCTCTTGAAAATACCCATAATTGAACTAAATTTGATCGAAATATGTACATATATTTGATCTTTGTTCCTTCTTCAGTTTTTTGTAAATTATGCTTATTCTGTATAATAAAAAAATTTTTACTTAATAATATAATTATCACTTTATAGTTAACAAATTTGGACTGAAAATAGTTATCTCATAGTAGTTAAAAGTAGTTATTTCACATAAATATCTACAGTTACTTCAATAAAATAAAATAGTACTTCATGTCCTTTCCTTTCTTCTACTTTTTCGAGTTTAATAAATAATTAAATAATTAAATATTTGATTGCTAACGATTATCAATACTAAAATTTATCATAGGTTAACAAACAATATTTTTTAAATGCAATTATCAATTTGTACTATTGCTAATTAATTATTAATAATCAAATTAAAATCATAAAAAAGAAACTTACTTTTAATACATGATATATGACTTGTGTCATAAATCTTTCCTTGACAAAAATAATGCAGCAGAATTTTTCTTTGCCTAAGTTATTATGATATTTCAACAATATCGCAAATAATTTTTGGATTTGGTTACATGTAAAGCTGAAATTATAAAATATTACTCAATATATGTATATATATTACTGTAACATTAGCCAATATAAGTTATTATAATGTGTGCAATAAATATTAATTTTTTAATATTTTATACTAACTTAGATAACCGATCTAATTCTATGTAGCCTTTCATCTCGTTATCGAACAATTTTCTTATTAGCATTACTTGTGTAATTAGATAATCCAGAAGAACATTTGTCATCTAAAAGAAGATCAATAAGTCTGTCAGTAAAATTAAGACTAAAAATTGCAGAACACTTCCAAATAATATTTTAATCATAATTTTAATCAATTCATACTTGATCATCGGAATATTTTCTCAAACTCTCTGACTGGATTAAATGTAACAAAGCAGACTTGTTCCCACAATATATGCCTACAATAAAAGTTATATTTTATATGCTGATTGTTGATTAAACATTCTTTTCAGCTATATGTGTAAGAACATAAAAATTATAACTGTATTTATTGAAAAATTTACTGTATCATTCCAGTATACGCACAAAAGCGATTCAATTACCTGCTTGTAATGAAGTCCTTCCTATGTCGTCTAAAATAGCCATTAGCTTATGAGATTTTGATTTAGGTCGCATTTCCTCACTGGATTCTTTATATATTTCATCAAAATTAAGCTTTATATTTTTAACAATTTCCTTTGTTGTTTGGATAAAATCATTAATTTTGTTTATTACTTCTGGAACTAGATATTTCGAATATTTGACGATTTCCTCATTAGGATTTGTACAATAGTCTTAGATAAAATCTGTTGATTCTACAGTTGCTATCTTTGCATGAAATGTTATTTCTAAAGTCTACAAACAATGATAATGTTAAGATGTGCAAAGATCATAATTACTATTAACTTTGCTATACGGCACACTTAATCGAGCTCAATAACGTCCATAGTTATGAAATTGGTCAATCATAGCTGTTCCTCGGAAGAATCCAACGACTGTGATTGGCCAGTTTCATAACTACAGATGTTATTAAACCCGATTATGCGTGCCGTGTAGCAGAGATTATTGATAAGATAATAAAATGTCATTCTTTACCCTAATCGTAGATTCTATTTTATCTGCTTTTATATTAGCATTCAACAATGTTGCCGACATAGCTAAAACATGTGGATGCTCTTCGTTGGAACAATTTTCAAATTGTTGCATAATTTGTCTCATAGGGTGGTTAGCTACAGCTCTGTGACATTCGTCAAACATGATTAAATTTATTCTATCTAATATTATATATCTGTGAATAAGCAGATTCAGGAAGATTTGCGATGTCATTACTAAAACCTGGATGATATAAAATTGTTGTAACCCATTAATTATTCAGGGAAAAAATTAGAATGAACGATATTGCAAATTCATGCTTCATGCTCTTCTATTTCAGTCATCCATTGTTGTTTCGGCCAAAAATCCACCTTCATGTCTCCACTATAACCTTTGCATTTTAGATCTGTCTGCCTCTTTATGTAAGTTGATTGTTGTTCAACCAATGCTACTGTGTTTACAACGAATATACTATGTTTTCCATCTTCTTGATAAGGTCTAAATGTAAAAGAAACTTTTAAAGCCATTGTATACATAAAGCCAATACAAGTACCTATTGTGATTTAAAAAAGACCCACGTGAAGGTCACCTTTAATTTTTTAAATGAAACCCCTTATTTCTCATTGCACATTCTTACAGCTCATCTCGAGAGCTTCCCAAAACACTATAATTAAGTTACTTTTCGTTAAGTACTAGTTAAGTTATAACAGTGAAAAAGAATAAATATCATCTAAACTTTAGGGAATAAATATGAATATTTCTAAAAATGATGTTATTTATTTCTTTATGAATTATAAGAAATAGGGTTCCTAATAAAGTAAATGGTTATATGTGCTATGATCAATGTTGCGCTTAGATGGTTTTAAAATCATCTAGATGGAGATGAGATGGAAATCCGTAAATCCATCTTAGATGAGATGAAGATGGTTTTGATTTGCAA